GGTAAAGTATCATAGAATGTAACTCATGTAAATTAATTATCGTAAAAACACATGTACTTGCACACAGTGAACTGACAAAAATGAGTTGGCAATGCATCAACATATGCATGCAGATGCATCTAAAATTATGTAGTACGCATAAATATGCAGATGAAGCTCTTTTTTTTTCTTTTGTTTTCAGACTTATTTCTTTTTTATTATTTTATATTCTTCTCAAATTTTGACAGCTGTTTGTAAAAAAAAAAATGATGTTAACAAGTCATGATTGTAGGCATGACTTCTATACACTAGAAATAAGTTGCTTCTAGCCTCCACAATTTTATAAATTGTCATGATCAATTTTTACATGCAAATAACAATGTACTGCTAGAGAATAATATAATTTCTGAAAATCAATTAATATAAAAACGTACGTTACAGCAAATAATGAATCGTCAAAATTGAGCTGTTAAAGTTTCAGCACAACTTTACAACAGTACTTAAATGTAAGCTTTGTAAACAATTTTATAGTTCTTAATTAATTCTGATAGTCAACGGATCATGTTTACAAAAATGATTTGTAACGTGGGAACATCATGCCTGTTTTTAATGCAATATATAATGTCCTGAAACATGTTGCCTGTACCCACTATACACTAGATAACATCTTAAAAATTTGAACTTGCAGAACTATGTATATCGTAATGTATATAATGTAATTTAATCCCTTTTACTTGAGCTAATTTAATGCTGAAAGTTTAGGAGTATTGTTGATGCCGCCGCCGATGGCAGTACTTGTAACTCTCACTGGAGTCACAATTTCCATCACGACTCGAGGAATGATGCCAGAATGTTGTTAGTTTTCTAGTTAGTGTGTGGAGCTAATACCTGCTTACTTTGGGTAAATATTAGGTGGCCCCCTCACTTCTACATAACATAACATAATAGTTGGTGAAAGTAAAAATTTTTATAATTTTTTCAAAATGCAAGAGGAAAACAAATAAACAGTAGTAACTCATACCTTCTCCATAAATACTAAATTGAGAATTAGTTGGGTTAAAATTAGATTAAGTCGAAATTAATGTATATTAATTAATGTTATATTGCAACATCATTGGTATCCATTACTAGTGTTACATCATATTGTTTAGCAACAGTTCAAGTTGTAGTTCTATACATGCTTTAAGATGGTTTTACAAGTCTCTTATTTGCTTAATTTTGTTTAAAAAAAAATAATCTAAAGTATTAAAATATTCTGGTTGCTCGAGCTTTCTGGCTAATTGAATGTTGCTAAATGTGGCTGTTACTGTATACTTATAATAAATCTTTTAAAAATACGTCATTTTTTATCCCATGGTTGTATGTGTAATTAGTTCTATTTATAAAAGTATTTTTTAATTATTTCACAAATTTCTTGACAGTCCTGCTAAGATTTTTTTCTCATTTTTTTAGGAAATTAAATAAGCATGATCAAATATAGTATATTCTTCTTCTTCAGGTTGTTCCTTAGTGACTGCTAATGGTTTATCCTCACTGGTACAACTGAGGCATTTGCAAGAGCTAGAATTAACTAACTGCAGAGGAGCTACACGAGAGCTCATTCAATACTTGCATCAAAATTTACCGAAATGCCTCATCATTGAATGATGACATTTATGAGCTAGAACTATAAAACTATGACTACATAATCAGGCAAGTATAGTGCAGTGTTTATGAATGTTTTAATGTTTATCTAAGTCACTTGATAAAATCTGTTACCATTAATAGGAAACTTCAATTCAGTTTTTCATGTTTACCATCATTAAAATTTATATGCCATCCCAATTCCTACAAACATGTATACTTTCCTTAAAAAATACACATACTTAAAAATCCCTCTTAATTTTGATTTATTAAAATCTGTACATTTACTCTCTCTCATTCAATGAATAAACATCACCCCAGAACTCCTGCTCCAGGTCATATAAACTTAATGAAAATTTCACTACAGAAAATTACAAAACTGCATTATAATTTAAGGAATTTTACAAATATAGCATTACATAAGTTAAACTTCAAAATTATTTTCTTTCATTTTTATTAGTTAAATGAACTATTTATAGATGCTTTTAATTCCATCAAAAACCTATTCTAAGATGTAAATACAATTAAATCAATGCTTAAAACACATATAACGTACACTCTATGAGTTGAAAATTGTCAAAGTCTGACAACAAAATATAAATAGAAAATATTGAGATATGTAGCTCATGAAATATTAGATAATTTAAAAAATTAGCTAATTTCTACATGTTAAATTTTACTTTAGATGATAGAGTTTTTAGAACTTAGATTAATATGAAGCCAATTTAGAATAAATTTTAAAACCCTAGTTAATTGATTAAATGTAAACTAGATACAAAATAAAACTAATTTATAGTCTTATGAATGCTAAAAAGATTATGATGAGGCACAATATTAATTTCTTGATAAAATTCATGTCATTGCTCTACTCAGATACAAAATCATTCAGTTTTACTTAAAATGAGTAATATTTTATTCAGAGTTCAAGGTCTTCCATTTCTCATTTGGACTGCAAAGTATCTGCAATATACAAATATTTTATTTTTTGTTGTAACAAGAATCAAGCATGAATGCGGATAAAACTTGCTAAATAATTGTTAAGACCTTAATACATAATATTAGTGATTTAGAAAATGTGAAGAATTTAGAATAGAGGAAGTGCTCTTTTATTGTTCTTTTCTTAGTTACCATACTTTACATATTATATCTAAAGGTCTATACACTATACTTTTATTAATCAACAAGGAATACAAAATATATATAAATGGATTATTTGCTAATACTGCTATTTTCTTTTTACTCATTAAACTGTGATCTCTGTATTATGTAGCTAAACTTTTACATAAAATGTACAAGCACCAACCTAAAAATTTTTTGTACAAAAAGCATAAAAAAATATTGATTCATTCCTCCTCCCTTTCAGTAATAATTTAGATTTCCTGATGAACATTTTCCTTCTCATTATTATATTAGTCATAAAAATAAAATTTTGACACAATGTTTCAATGTACAGAGTTTACACTCATTTTTGTCCACCATGCCAAATAAATTGCTGTTTATTTTTTTCGATTATATATCCATTGAATATATATTACAATTAAATGTTTTCTCTAAAAGTTATTTGCGATATTTAAAATTGTACAATCAAATATAATGTTGCGTGCGTACGGGTTCGTTATGAAATGAATGCACAAGTCCGATGAAAAATTAACAAAAATTTATTATTATCACAACAAAAATGCTTAAATTTTCTCCAATTATCATGCAGTATTACAATATCTCACAGTAGTTATCTTTTAACTACTCAAATGTCCAATAGAACGTAATTCAAAACAGCTAAAGAACACTAATCCGCGAATTCGCTACAATCAACAAGAGCAGTTTTCTAAACAACAACAAACTAAGCAACTACTACGAACTGAGATGTTTTCCTCTTTTTATAAACTTTTAAAATCATGCGCTAGAATTTTCCAGTACTTTCTCGAAATCAAAAAGAGATATTTATTTATTTAATGCACGCGCTCTTGTATTTTTAATTTTCCGGCTTAGCTTTCTTCTTTTAATATTCGTCACGCGCTGCACTGTGCGGGAAATAAAACCAATTAATTTATAATTGAACTAACATTAGCTTTTTAAGTACCGAATTCGTAACAATAATATCTGTTTAATATGGGGAACCTTAAAAAAGACATTAAAAAACCAAATGATTTTATCTAAATAAAAAAAAAATAGTAAAAAGAACACAAGTAATAATTCAATTGAAATCATCTGAAATCTGTTTGTATTTAACTTATTAGTAAAAATGCAATGTTCTCATGAGCAGAGTAACTTCAGGTTCTTATTGATATTACTACACATGGTTAAAGTCTTTAGCAAATTGCTAAATACAATTTAATGTAAGACATTATTCAGTCTGTAGATGTATAAAAATATTTATAACAAATGTGAATGCTGAGAAAAGACATATTTTCTTCAATCTCCTTATTAAATATCAGATATAAGGTTTCTGATATTATAAAACTATCTTAAAATTTTACAAATTAAGAGTCTTTTTAATTCTGTAATAGAAATTTATAGATTATTATATAATGAGATAAGCCAGTTGCACAGCAGAATAAATGTTATTAATTTTAGTAAAAAATGCTAACATCCATAATGGATTCCAATAATATTTAAAAGTATTAATTGGTGGCTCATTTTTGATACAAACTGTTAGAAAACACCCATTTACATACTTATTGAACATCAAATAATTTACAGTTGGCACCAAGTTACTGAAATGTAAACAAATAAATTCCAAGATGATTTATAACATGGAACAATTTTTAAAATGTAAAATTTATTTAAATCACTACCATGTCTATTTGATGTATCAATTATATTCTGGGTTTAAAACTTCATAAGATTGTTGGCATGTTGTTAAAGTAATGGTGTGTTAGTAACAGATCCAATATTATTAACACACAGACATTTTTTAATAATTTTTCCTGTATTAAATTATATGAATACATTTTAAATTTTCTCTTATTACCTGATTACACTCTGATAGCATACTTAGTTATAATACTCCATTCAAGCATCATGTGATACAGAATGTTATTGTACCTTATATTATTACTGCCTGTTTTTACATAGTATTCAGTTTTTGACTGACTGTGATTAAAGAAGCACAACCTATGCAGCTTCAACAATGAGGAGTAACTTTGGTGGGAAAAGGTAAAATTTAAAGAAATGTTAAGAGGAATGATGTTGAATGAAAATACAATGCAGATTAGTTACTCTTTTGTTACAGGTTACTTGAATTCCTGGTGAAGTGTAGAAAATGTTTACCAACAGTGATAAATATCTTTCTGTTATATATCTATGCAGTCTTTTAAGGCAGTCATTTATTGTGATATGAAAAAGTGATTAGAACATTTTAACTTGGACCACTAGTTAATAAGTTATTGTGCAAGAAAAAATGTGATGAATTATTTATTTTACAAATTTCAAATACATTGCATATTTATTCTAATATAAAATACACAAAAGCAAGATAGCTTAATTATCACTTTTGAGAATAAATTCTCTTACATTATATATTAAATTATTATTTCTATTATACAAAAAGTTAGTCAATTCCATACAGATTACTTTGTAATTATATAGATAAACTTCTAATAATCAGTATTACACCAAAAAGTGGGGATTCAATAATTTCGTGACTGATAGAAAAGAAGCTATCTTTATTTCATTTCTCAAAGCACTGGACAAGAAAGATGAAGACCTATTACCATATATGAAGTTTTCTTTTGAACACACAACATAAATTGGAATACTTTCTTTCATTCTTCAAGAAATAATAAATATAAAATCTATATGATACAAAAATCTAAAGACTAAACCATATCACGATTCAGTAACTCACTTGAATATACACATTTATTCAATAAAGACATAAAAGAATGAAAATATAAATTTAAGAATAAGATTCTTCTCTCTAGAATATTTATCAACACACAAGAAACATAATTACATTTGTTATTCTAAGATAAAATAAAAAAAAAACTATTAAAAAAAGTGCTCACTTGATACAAGAGCAGCAGAACATCAAGTGTACCATGATTTACTTACAACATTTGTTGTAGCACAAAAATAAACTGCCACATTTATTATTTTCCATATAATTTAGAGCAAAGATTTTAACAAATACTGAATCATGGGACCTTGAAGCTAATAAAAACAGCATGTAAACTCATGGGCATTTTGGGGTGAAGATATAAGTTTAAAAATTTCATGGCATAACACTCTAACTGTTAAAAAATAAGCACATAAATATATAATACATGAAATTTTCATTAGCATATAATGGACAAATACTGTGCTTAAGGAATAAGTTGAAGGTTATTTTAAGTGAAAGGAAGTTGAAGGTTAATCATGAAATAATCCACTAATAAATTTCAACAGACTGCTCTTAAATAGCATCTATTTTCACTCATAATTAAAAAATTGCAAATTTTGTTAAAATTCAATAGTGAATTGTACTTAAATTGGAAATAATTATGATTTAACAATCCACCAGCTAATTGATTAACTATAATGAAATACTTATTCATTTTAACTAATTGATGAGCTGCTATTCTTTGTATCTAGACTAAATTCCACAAACATATAAAGAATAATTTCAACTTTGAAATAAAACTATTACAAACTCAAGTTATACCAAAAACCCAAGATATTGCAAATGCAGTTTTAATGCACAAATATTTAAAGGTTAAAAATTTCATCACTTTTTCTCTCACAATATACTTGTGATATTATGTATGAAAATAGAATATGCTGTAAATATTTACTTATGTCAGTTCAAAACAAAGTTGCTTTTTGTGTACATACTCTTAACAGCTTAGATATTGAAATTGGTCTCTGCAAAGCAGAGTATATTACAGGTGTGATATTCCAATGCAATATTCTGTGAATGGCACAATATGAAAATATGTACTGTATTATTTAAATAAATGTAAATAAATATTTGAAAATTGATGTTTACATTTTCTTTCTGCATGTAAAATATGTACATATACACATATCACACTAAGCATTTCAAAAATGGGCACAGGTTACTCAGTTAGAATGCAGTTAGGACAAATTTCAGAATATTTACACAAGAGATTTTGTGATGGTATGCAGCAATTTTTAGCTCCACCATGATAATAAACCTAATCCTGGTTCATTAATGGAACCCTATAAAAGAATCTTGGATTTAATATATAGCAACACATTTGTTCCCAATATTACAAATCATTTATAATAATTAAAAACAAAATATTAAATTCATTTCAATAAATTTCCAATATAACTAAATAATGACTAATTTTAGCGATCAGTGATTCACTAGCTAATTCAAATGATGCAAAAATTTTATTAATACTTTTGCGATTATAAACAATTTATTAACTGACACGATAATAAAAATTTTTGATGCAGTGATAGATGCAAAATAATGCAGTATGTGCCTAAAGATGTAATAACAGTCATGGCCAGTTGAACGCATATTTTATTGCTGACAACGTATTTTTGATGAAGGCACAATTAAACTGGTGCAGTCTATATACCCACTTTTTAATAATTATTATATTTGTTCTTTTTAACATCTTTATCAAAATATATTTCATGTAAGAAAGATAAGTAACAACATGCCAGCAGGACAGAGAAATGGAGAAGAAACTACAGTATGACGATTAGGTTAAGAATAGTGTAGTTATGCTTTTACTTTATTTTTATTCATTAGTTAAGGTTTTAATTTCCAGATTTTAGTATTGTATTTTATTATTAATTATTAAAAATGGCTGAACCATTCTGTAAGTAATGTGTCAGGATTATTACAAAATAAATATGACAAGGATTATTTTTGAAATAATGCAGTTCACAGAGCTCATTTTATGCATTTTACTATTTTTTGGATAGAAAGGAGAAATTGCCAAATTAAGTAGGAGACTTAAATGGTTAACATTTTATTTCACATATTCTTTGTCTTACATTCAATAGAACAAATATCTCAGGAAGCCAATGTTTTTAAGGCATTATTTGCAAGACTAAAAACACTGAAGTCTTATTCATAATTTAATAAAACCTATTCATGTACGAAGGAGGGAATCAAATTTCCAAAAACATTTCACGTTATTAAAAAATAAAATAAAAAAAAAAAAGAAACAAACTTACCTAATAAATGATAATGCACCATATAAAAAAAATTAATTATCTCAATTCTGAATTACTTTTTAAATAATTTTTATTGATTATTTTTTAAATGGGCAACTAAAGCTTCAACACTTAACAGCAGAAACATATCTAGAACTACAAGCAACTCACTGTATGTAAAATCCTCCCATTTCTCAAAACTTCACTATGAAGTTGTTCGAAACAGCATTTTTAAGAGACTTGCGATACAGAGCCTTATAATAAAAATTTTTGATGCAGTGATAGATGCAAAATAATGCAGTATGTGCCTAAAGATGTAATAACAGTCATGGCCAGTTGAAAGCATATTTTATTGCTGACAACGTATAAATGATGAAGTATAAATGATGAAGATAATTCTAATCTGTGATTAGCATAATGCTAAGTAAAGCATAACGAAAGTAAAATTATGGGAAAATGGCATTTAAGTAGCAAAAGAACACCTCTGTTTTAGTTAAGGATTACTGCAGCCCTATCTGTTGCAAATGCCAAAAAATTTTATTTCAGAAAATCAAATGAAACAAGCTTCTTTAAATGGGCTTTCAGCGACTTGAATATCCCTTAAGCCTAGCATCTTTGAGTTCTACTATAAGTAGAAAAATTTAGTAGATTCATTCAGGTCTGGAAATGTGGTTCTTATGTAAACATTGAGCAAGAAAAGCTAACTCTATTGCAGTGCTTTCTTCTATGGAGACTAATTTTATTATTTGACTCTACATCTTCTGAATGACAATGTTTTTCATTCCTATTGCAATATAATTCAAAATACAGTACAAAGTTCAAGATCCGAATGTCCAATATCCGAAATGATCTAAAATCCAGACCTCAAAGCCACAAACCTTCCCCCCCCCGACTCTTAATTTCACTTAACACTAAATAAAATATCTTGTTATTGAAGTTACTGAAGAAACAATAATTTTAGCATAAATTTGTGAGATCAATAATTTGGCTCCGTAGCTGTATATCTGCTTGGCATATGTCTGAAACCCAAACATTCTACAAAGGAACATCATTGATATTACACTTACATTATAACTTCTAGTTTTTTATATCCCTGACCTCAACTTGGTGAATCATTATTTATTATATTTTGCTTTCGTAATCGTGTGTTTATCAACATGACAACTTGGGTAACGACTCATACAGTGATGTTTAAACATGTTTTTATATTAGTAATTGAATAACAAAGAGTATGGCAACCTTTTATGCTGACATAACACTTGGCGATGAATAGATTTAAGTTAAATGCACTAAGAAATGTTGACGTGGAAAAATTTAACAAAAATTTCTTTTCATATGCTAAAAATAGATTTTGTTAATGAAACTCATAGGCCAAAAGATTACATTTAGTGCTATTTGAATTAAGAATAACTGATATGTTATTCACATAAACCCAGAACTGCCGTCAGAGCTCGTATGACCGCACCGGGTGGCAGAATTAAGGAAATACAAAATTTTTTGAATTCAGAGAAGAACTGAGCAGCAAAATTAAGGGATGACAAAATTTTTATAATTGAGGGAAAGTACAGGGACCCAAAGTTTAGGGGTGGCAAAAATTTATAACTTATGAAGGCGGTTTGTAGCAGAATTTAGAACCTGCAAAAACTGCATCAGGCAGTATCTAGCACTGTCTCTCGATAAGCCTTAAGTATATGTGGGAGTTTATTTATTCAGGACTCAGATTAGCCTTAAGCATGTGCAAGAAATAGATGTAGGTAGATGAAATAGATGTGAGCGTGGCATTGGAAAGTCAACAGTATATGACATAAGAAAAAGGAACTTTTTGAATTTTTCATGGATTTAGACACCCCACTCGCAATGCATAACAAAAAAACCGTTCGTTAAAAGTGACAATCATGACAAAATTATGATTGAATGGGTCAGACAGAGTCACAGCAAGGGCATGCCATTGACGGGTCCAATGCTAGTGGCTCAAGCCAAAATATTTCATGAAGAAATAAACTTAAAAACTGAGGGCACATATTCAACAGGTTGGTTAAATAAAATTTAAACATCGTCATGGTATAAGGAAATTCAAAATTTCAGTTGAAAAAGCTTCAGCTCATACTGAAGCTGCTGAACTATTTGCATATGAATTCATTGAACTCATTCATTACTAGTGAAAAATTATCTCCAGAACAAATTTACAACACTGATGAAACTGGTTCTTTCTGGCAATATGTACTGTGAAATATCTTGGCAACCTCTACAGAAAAGACTCAAACTGGTGTCAAAGATTCCAAAGCGAGACTAACAATTTTAGCATGCGCAAATACTGCAGGAATACACAAATGCAAATTTTTCGTAATCAGAAAAATAGACAATCTTGAACATTAAAAGAAGTCACGATTTTCCCCGTTATATATTGTGCAAATAAAAGCATTAATGAATGATTGGTTTGAAAATCATTTTAGACCCTAGGCTCAGCAACATTTGAACAGGTTGGTTTACCTGATGACGTAAAAATTGTAGGCGACTGTTCGGCTCATACTTCACTTAAAGTTTTAGTGAAAGATAATGATCCATATCATTCTTTCCTCCACAGTGTACGTCCATCATTCAGCCTATGAATATCAAAATAGTAAAAGCTAAAATGCAAATATAAAGTAACGTTTTAACTATTCTGTAAGTTGTAATAAATATGTTTAAGAAAATTCCTTTTAGTTTTTGAAAGCTTTGCACAGAGTTTGCAAAGATTTAGTTTCTGCTTTAGTCAGCATTGAAAGAGCTGCCTGTTGAGCTGAATTTCTTCATGTTTTAAAATTCTATCCCCCCCCAATAACATCTGTTTACTTGTAGCACTAATTGATGCTGAAGCTCATTGTTGAGAAATATTCACGTCTTGCATTTTATGGTGCGCCCTCTAGGCATCAAATTCTTTGCAAGTTCTGCTGCCAAGCAATTATGTTTATTGCAGATCCATTTTAATAAAATTTCAATATTTAAGATCTTCAGAAGATAGGGCTGTGTGCTACACATTATATGCTTCAGAAGATGGTCTGACTGCACAGTTTACTGATGCTGCATTACACAACAGTGTTGTCAAATCTTGTGTTTTTACAGTAAATAGTAATCTGAGTATTTATATTGAAATATTTTCACCTAATGAGATTACAGGCCAAATTTTCATCAATAAGACAATACAGTACATAGATTAAGCACTCATCAACTCTGAGACTAAGGGAACACTATAAAAGAAAATGATATTCCAAAGATACTAATGATGATAATTACAGATATCAATAATGCCAACCATGACACTCTTTACAGACACATGAACACAATCAAAAGTTTCAACATATAAAAATTCTTTGTATTCTTTGGGCAAAAGATGCACAAATACACTGATTGGTCACCATTATCAGGAGACAGTAACAAGACTGAACAATCATCATGCTAGATTTCAACAATTCAAGTGGCTTACAGAAGGCATGTCTGCATTTTATTCTAACCATTTCCATGGCATGCTCAGTGCATAAAGAGTGCTATTACTTGAAAGACAAATAAAGCTCATAGAGAATTTAAATATAACTGAACATCTCTGATGCCAATATAAGCTACATAATTCTAATCATAATACATAAAACATAACCAAGTACATTTATCAATATATCCATAATACACTGAGTTTAACAGGAATTCTAATGTTTAAAATTTTTTTCTCCAAAAATCTTTTGGGTATGCATACCCCTGCATCACGCCAGAAAAAGGGCACTGCTTGTAAATATTCTAGTACTATATGTAGTTAAGAATTACTGATCACACTTTCAGATATTAATTAGATATTGTTTACAGTCAGTCCTTTTTTTTTAATTGCTTAAAATTTAGTTTTGTTGCAGAGCAAATTTTCCCTACTTTTGAATTTGATAAATAGGCATCCCTGTTACAACATTAACCTTCCATAACAAAAAATTAAAGAAATAGAAAGTTAAAAAAATTAAATAATAATTACTAACATGCAGAGAAATATGTTACTTTTAAAATGTTTTCTCTTCACCATTATTAAACTAAAGAATTAAAAGATGTAAAAATAGGAAATAAGAGATGCAAGAAGTTTTTAAAAGTAGTAAAATTTTGAATTTATCAGCATTCTAACAAGAAAGAATTTGAAAAAAAAAAAGGGGAAAATTTTGTTAAAAGCTTTGCAGTACAGTTTATCAAAAAATTATGTCTTGAATGCAATATTAAATAAAACATAACACTGAAATTCATATATAAAATTAAGCCTTACCGTCAAGTTATAAGGTATCCTTCTATCTTTTTCTTCTGCATCAGAATTTTCTGTTTCTGGACTGGTTGGAGTAGTGTCAACAAATGTTTCATCTATAACTCGGAATCTAATAACAATTGTAAAGTAATACATATGTTAGATAATTTCTGAATAAGCAAATAAAATCTTAAATTTATAAAATATAATAAAATACAGAGATACAGATAGATTTATAAAACTCTAAAATGCTAATTTAAAACAATATATATCCCTTGCCTGAAATCAAAATTAATTTCATACTTTTCAAACATATTAATAAACTTTCTTATATATCCAAAAGTTAGTAGCATGTGATCATAAAATTAGCAAATGATTAAAAATCACTAAAGCTGCACCCACTAGAAAATAAACCTTATAATACTTTTCTAAAAGAATAAGTTTTTTCCTAAAAGAATAGGTGTGCACCTCAAATAATGTCTCTGTATTCTGAGTACTAGCACCACTTTTCTGGCTGAAGAAATTTTCTGGCCAGAAAATTGGTGCTAGTACTCAGAATACAGAGATATTATTGGAGGTGCATAATAAATAATAATAATAATAATAATAATGAAAAAGATTTTTAAAAAATGAGTTAAGGCCTGTAGTTAGTAGTAGTTATATACTACCTTATATCATACTTAGCAGAATTTAAGTGATGCTAATACATAGGAAAGGAAACCCTTTTGAAGAAATTATAACAGCATCTACAATTATAAGGCCACCAGAAAAAATATATAAGAAATGCAAGTTAGAAGATGTATGCAAGATATAAATGTAATATTTTTGTTATTATTACCCTTTATATAAATATAAGACTAAAATGTTAAATATGCTTCTGGTCCAAAAATTTATAGCGAGTTTTCTGTGAATAAGCACGAATTAGAGTCCCCACAACATGCTCTTACTATTTTTTACAATGATGTTTGTCAGTCTGTGTGCATGTGAATGATGACTTTTCCATTCACAATAACTCTTAAATCAAACTTCCAAAAATTTCTATTTTTCATATTTAATCTTTTATGTTCAAATAGAGAGTTAATTAGATTTTGGTTAATATTAGACATCCAGAAGTGGTACTTTACTTGAAAAACTACATTAAAATAAAAAATTGAATAAAATAACTACATTTAAAATATAAACCATAGCTTTTACTTTTTAAGACATTTATATCAATGGAAACCAGGGGCGTAGCTAGAGTTTCCAGCGCCCGAGGACAACTGAAGAATTTGCACCCCTTTCTGTGTGCCAGAAATAGAAAACATTTCATTAAAAAATTTTGTAGCATGAATTTGGCGCCCTTTGGATGCTGCGCCCGGGGACATATGTCCCCGCTTGCCCCACCCTAGCTACGCCACTGATGGAAACACATATCAAATTTCTACTACAACTGATAAACTGGAAGTGATACTTTTTCTTGAACTCTCAATAGATTTTAATGAAAAAAAAAAAATATTATGATATAATCAAAAAAATTTCAAATTTGGTGTTTAAAACTCCTATATGCATATAAGATGTATAACATGACCAACATCGACACATTAGATTTTGACCACATATGTTCAGGCCCACGCCAAGCCTCATCGGTGCCTCCGTGCAAATGTCTAGCGAGCGCCTTTATGCAGTGAAGCCTTTTGCTTATGGTTAACATTTAAAATAAAGTATTATTAACATAATAATATGAAAAACCAAAAAAAAAATTCATTTTACTTTTAATCTGCCTAAATATGCAAACATTTTGTGGTTTGTTAAAACCCACACTCAAACATATTTATTGAAAAATTATACATATATTTATGTTATAAAAAACCGCCCAACTGGTATAGTTTTTAGTGTTGCTGACTGTGATGCTTAAGAGCCCGGGTTCGAATCTCAGAGAAAGCATGGATGTTTGTAAGTCCATGCGTCATGGGGGCACCATAAATATGCGAGGCGAAAGTCCTCTCGAAAGGTTGGTAGTAGGGGAAGAGGGGTGGGAGACACTTGGACCCATCCTCCCCCCAGGGTGCTCTCCATCAAAATTGAGGGGGGCAAAACTGAGCTAAATCGCACTGTCACCTGTATGGTGCTCAAGGCTGTTGCCAACGACAGGCGTATCTTGCGCTCCTTGCCACGAGGAATTTCGTGGGTTTGGGCTGACTGTAAGTCAGACAAGTTAGCATTAGTCAACAACATGTTATAAAAACGTAACACTGCAAGCGAAGTGAAATACTATAACTAAATAAATTGGATACCAAATATATTGCTCAGCACTATTTATTATCTTAAAATTAAAAACGAATTAATTTAGATATCTCATAAGTTTGCACTGAATAAACTGTTGTTTGCAGCATTGTTTACGACAAGGTTCAAACTGTGATTCAAATTCTAGTTACATTTCACACTCAAAGGCACAACCGACGAACTATTTCATAGTAACTTTGCTCACTGTAAATTTTACAGTGTGATGAATCAACAGATATTTGCAATGTAGCTCAAGTAAATATTTTTAAAAGGATCATCTTTAATGATTGTTCAGTGAAGAAAGATAAAGTGTCAGTTTTGTGATTAAAAGGCAATAAACAAAAAGTGGACATATACCAACCTATTAAAAACCATTAACTGAAATTAATCTACCGCCTCAAAAACTTGTATCCATAACAACTAACATGATTGGTTCTGCTGTTGTTTTCATCACATTATGTAAGAATGATGCTGACTTTCCAAACTTTTCTAACAACAACTGCATCATGCATAGACAGGCATTATGTATAAAAGTTTTTTGTTATGAATACATGATGAAAGTTATTCTAAAAGTTGTAAATCCTATTCATGCCTAATGACTTCAGAGTAGATTGATCACACTGAGCTTGATTCAGAGCATGGTACTTAAATGTCACATTTTGAAATTAGATGGCTAAGTAAGGGGAACGTCCTACAACAATTTTTATAGCTTCTTTCACAGGCAAAACTTATCAAGAATTTAATGATCATAGCTGGTTATGTGATTTAGTCTTTCTTACAGACATAACAAACTAACTGAATAACTTAAATCTTGAACTTTGGAGGAAAGAAAAGACTATCATCAATTGAATAGAAAGCATTTAAGCAAAAAGTCAGTTTATGGTTATTCCAAATAAAGTAATGTAACTTTTGTCACTTTACAAATTTAAAGAACTACATCAATAAATAAATTTTTAAAAAATGAAAAATTAAATATTCTGAAAATCTTGCAGAGCTTAAAAATAACCTTTTTTTTTTTTATTTATTTAAAGAAAACGAAATACTCGTGCACCACAAAGTATCACACGAGACTTACAAATCCTAAGTAAAAAAGGCAACATTGTAAGTAATAACATCAGTTTTCAATAATACAATGAAATCATACACAAAGGAAAAAAAAAAAAAAAACACACAAGTAAATACAAAAGTATATAAAAGTATAAAGAAATCATTTACAATGTTTAAAATAAAAGTCAACAAAATTGTTGAAACCTCAGTAGGCTCGTAACATTTTGTCGGCCAATGAATTCCAATTAATTTTAATCTGCATTTCAATAGATTTCTTGCTTTATCAAGCAATGGTCAGTCAAAAAGCAGGGGAGAAACACTTTGCTGAATGCTAAGACTGCAATAACACAAATTGGAAAAAAAAAATAAAATAAAAATAAACTTTGAAATAAGATTTTCAGACTTTCGCAAAATTCAGCTTATTGTTTCATTCCTTTCATATCCATTTGCTGATATTAATATTTCCAAAATATTACAACAGACTGCAACTATGTTAAATAAGAATTCTACTGATCTAGAAATGGAAATAATTGATTTTCAGTCTGATCTACAACTGAAAACAAGAACATAACAAATACATTTTTGGATACTTGTAGATGAGAAAAAATATTTAATATTAAAAGAAACTTTTCAAAGGTTAAACTTCTGCTTTGGATCAACTTACTTTTGAGAAAGTAGTTTTTCAACAATGAACTTGCTAAATTCAAAGTTCACATCCACAATAACAAATAAACATCTGACTTGACTGCATGAATTTAGCCATAACATCACAAGTACCAGTGTACAATAAAATCACACATAAGACATGCAGTGTCAAGTTTCACATTAAAATATGCTTACCCTGTATTTAATTTGTGTCTTTCTAAATTTTTAATAAATAGTAGTACACACAATATATAATTACACTTTTTCTTTAACATATTACACCACACATTTTATAATTTGTGCATTATATATGTTTAACTGATATATTAAAAGTGTAATACATAACTTAGGTTCACCAAAAATTTTTAAACTCTAAATTTGCTTGTGTCAGGTTAAAGGTTAGGCACCACTGCTAGAAATAAAATAGAAATTCTGGATGAAGAGCTGATGCATTTGAAAATTTAATATTAAAAGCTATTTAAATAAATCTTTAATGCACTAAAAAACTAAATTAAAGCACAATAAAATAACTTATATTTGCAAACATAAGTCAATTTGTTTATAAGCTGAGATGCAAGATTTTGCACCTCATTGCATTTTAGACAATGCTTAGTAATACTGGCAATCACATTTAGCCTACTTAACCGCTTTAACATGAATCTGGCTTGTCCATTTTTTTACTTTGTAGTGTTTCTAATAAATGTCTCTAGTTGTCCAGGAGAGACTGAATTGTAAATTCAGGTCAAGGGCAGACTTTACTGCTTTTCGTTTAGGCTTTGCATGTTGCTTGAAAAGGAACAATAGCAGAAAATGTGTCAGAAAAGAAACCAAATATTTTTGTCCTGATTGTGATATTGGATGCTGCTTATCTCCATGTTTTAAAATATATCATACCAAAGCTGAATTTTGAAAAGAAATAACAATGTAAGTTATTAAAAAATACATTTTTTTTTTTCCTATCTCTTGTAAAGTGTTCTTTCCAATTCTGCACCTTCATCAGAAATATGCCAACTTAAGTAAAAATTCCTTATTTTTGCCATAATTAGAAATTATCTTAAATAAATAAATACAATACTTAAAACAGTTTGACTGCTGATTAGAATTCATGTAATCGATTTGAATACAAAGTTGTTTATAAAAAAAAAATATGCTTATTTTTTATCACAATACGACAGAAAGATGAAGTAGTAGAACTAACACAACAAACAAAAAATTTTACAAATTAATTTTACAAAAAATGGTACTTTTCTGTTTTGCCAGTGCAGGCGATGTAGTCGCCAATAATGGTACAACCGGTGCCAAACGAAATATCCTTGCTGGTAACCTTTTACTCCTCATTTTCAAAACAAGCCATAGCTATTTCTTATAAGATTGATTGTTTTATTCAATACTGGCATACAATTACATAGAATTTTTACTAGAAAGTTCAATTTTATGCCCTAAGGCCATTCACGGGTGGTAATTAAGTCAATTAGGATGCAATCACACCACTCACCTGATGGCAAAAATACAGAAAAGGCAAAGTCAAGGGTAATCATCAATTCTAATGAGAATGCACGAGCGAAGTAAAGCACTGTGGTTTTACATAATTGCCGAGTAAGCTATTCGTACAAATTGAAATAATTCTTGCATTTAAATTTGTATTCCAAATTAAGATTTAACTTGAAATTAATGTAGATAGTTACTTAGTTTAGTAATAGCGTAGTTTACGTGGGATGGGATCACTTGGGGTCACATGATATGAACCGGCGAATCAGGATGTTGTACCATGAAAGCACAGCAAATTCTTAAATTAATGTCTTTTTACAAATTTGTCTTTATTTATTGGCTTTTTCACAAAATTTTAAACAACATTAAAATGTTTATACCTTCAAAATAAAAAATTCTTAGCACTAACATTTGTCAAGATTTTTTATGTGTATACGGTGTGTTGTTGCCAATAAAATCTGCTTGGTACCAAAATTTTATATTCTTTTTGGAACAACCAGAACTTGATACTTCATAGTAAAAAGAAGAAACTGAAAAGAATATGATAAATTAAACAGAATAGCATAAATATATAATATTTAGAATCCAATGCAGACGTTAACTTTATAAAGTTTCCTCACCTACTAAAAGGATATTGTATGTTGGTCACTGTAATGGAAATGGATTTAATGTACTCTGAATATTTAAGAATTTATTGCACTAGTCAATGTATTAAGCAGTCATTATAATGAGTGTCAACAGTGTATTTATCAACCTATTACATTCCTAGAATGTCTCTTTTTTTTTTTTTTTTTATCTATTTAATGATATTTTTAAATAAATTCAGGTATTTTACATTTATTTAGCAGCATACATAAGCAAAAAATATGTGCATTAAATTCCGTAATGGTATGTCATCACACTGCAATGTGTATGTCAGAAAAAATTGTCTATAATTTGAAAGGATTATTAACTCATAATAAATGCATTTAAAGGGAAGAAGCAACATTAAATGATATGAATAACATTAAAATAAAGTTAATTATTTAAAAATTGAATTACAACAACCAACAATATTTTGGCGGATATAGTTAGTTATATTAAATGGTTAGCCTAGATGACTGCTTACTATTTTTTTTTTTTTTTTTTTTTTTTTTTTTTTTTTCTGCAAAATGACAAATAAGGCATTTGTTGAAGATAAAAAAGGGTTAAAAGATTTTGTGGGAAAATCCTAGTACACAGTACACCCTTGGCTCGATTTTGAAAATTGTCGACAACACCAAAGTGACCCGTTTACTGCTCATTATAATGTTGCCAAATCTTGCGTGTACTGTATACTGGGATTGAATCAACTTTGTTTTATACGAGAATGGAAAGGTATTTTCTTTTGTTCAACATGCACTGCATATATGCATGCGAATCTCTCGATGGTCCTGGAAACCAAAGTTGGTGAAAACTTGCTTTGCCTTTCTAAAAGACAATCTGATTACAGCTGCGAAAACTGGCTCTACATCAGCTGCTTGAATGATGCTCATGCAATATATAATTCGTCAAGAAAAGTGATCACTTTCAACATTGGCGTAAAAATCACTTTTGGGAGCGAATGCCGTATGAAATGCCCTGACTTTTCCAGATTTTGACTAAAATATTTAAATTCCTGATTTTTCTCTAACTTTTTTAGTCAACTTTCAAATTCTCCGACTTTTCCGTTTTTTCATGTAGTGTGGCAACTTTGTAATATGGATTCACAGTTACCAAAGTAGCACATGCTAGTAATAGTTTCCCAAACAAGGCAGTGATGTAAATTATATATGCCTCAACAGCGATGCCAATGGAGTTATTGAGTATATTATCAATGTCAAAACAGCAAAAGTACAAAGAGTTATTAACAAACTTTACTAATTCACATTATTCACATTATTAGTTGATTGGCAGCAATTTTTAACTATTCAGTTTTAATAGCTAGCACATTCAAAAACTACTAACTATATTTCTCCAAAATGCAGCACAGTAACAAAAAACAACCTTTGTTTCACATGGTTATGTCAGTATATGTATTACTAATACAGTCAAAAGTCATTAAGTCAAAAGTCGTCGGGACTTCGGCGATTCCGGATTATCGATTTTTCCGGATTTTAGGTCATCAGTTTAAATCTCGTAAGATGGCATGCAAAAATTCTAAAATTAAAAATATGAAACCGTAATTTATGAAATAAAGAACAATTATGATCTAAAGGGTATCAAAATTTACAAAAAAAAAAAGCTTAATATTTATTTGTTTACTTTATTAAACATTTCTTTCAATGTAAGTTGTTTAAGTTGCTTCATTTTATGCGATAATTCTTTCTCTTTAATTCTATAAACAGACATAATTTCTTGTTCAATTACAAAGTTCCGCTGTTCAAGTCCCGTAATTGCTGTGCCGAGAATACCGACTAACTTGTCAATCGAAATTTTTTCGTTTTCACTAACCTCTGTGTCACCTTCTTCATGTCTGTATCCATTTGCAGCAATTCCACTTTTTGTTTGATGGACATTGAAACAATACTTTCATTTTGTAGATCCTTTGGGAGCTCCAGCATCGGAAATTCTATTTGACATAATCGAAAGTTCAAGTTTACTTTTATAAAATTGCTCTTACAGTCTGCAAAAAATAATAAGCCGGATCCAATTCGAAGATTAGGGAACAACACAATCATCAACATTAACTGAAATGGATAATTAGATAATTTTAGCTTATACCGTCCGTTATACATAAAACGCGCACGTAAAAATGTATTCTGCGCTTACGCACACGCATATGCGCAGTCGTAAAGGTCTTACACGCACGCGTAAACGCCTATGCGCATGTGTCAACGCGGCGCAAGCACAGAAAGTTTTTAGCTTTGAGGTTCGGATTATAGATCATTCCGGATTATGGGTGTCCGAATTAACGACTTTTGACTGTATCACCAAATGTAAAGGAATTTTTTCTCCCCAGGAAGGAAAACTGGAGGAAATTTTAAAGTTCAATATAAAACTTTTGCTTCAACTTTTAAATAATTCAAATACAAGTATGCTAGATAACTTTAGAGAAGAAACAATAAGTTTCAGGGAACAAGAACTCAAATTCTAAGAATTTAAGTACACATTCTTAATATCAGTACCAGTATTTTGATACAACAGCTTTGAAAATAATCAGTTTTGAATACAAACAAAATCAGAAAAGAAAAATATACATTAAAAATAGTAGAATTAGAAAGACAAATATAACAAAACTTATTTTTACTTTAAAAACAACCTACCTGATAGGTTCATCTCTGTCCATAAAAAGGTCATGCGTTTGACCACTTTCTTCATTGCTAAAAACCCAAACCCAAAGTTGCTCTTTTTCGTCACTGAATTTGTATTAAAGAACATTTTTATGCATTTCAAAAAATAAAAATTTTCTCCTTTTCTAAAATAGATACATGTAATACAATACAAAAAAGAAACTAAGTGGAAAAAAAACTTAAACAATGTAGTTAAGCAACATGTTAACTATTAGTTAGTCATAAAAAGTATTTTAATAATCATTGATTTAATTAGCCAGATATAAAATATATTCCCACAAAATATGACTTTACTTCCAGGACAAACCCAAGAAACTTATCTTATATGTATATATAACAATGTAAGTTTCAAATGTTGTTCTAAGTTTAAGAAAGGAAGGATAAGCTGACATACAACATTTAGGAATATGATTAAAAATGTTTTAAAGGGAAATTAGGAATGGTAATTTGCTTTAAAAAAAAAAAAAAAAAAACTTATTATTTTTTGATGAACTCTAAAATTACGCAATAGGAAATTTCGTAATTTTTAATGATGCATACTGAGATCAATTAAATTTTAAAATAACACAGACAGGATTTTTTTTTTTTTTTTCAAAATCTTAGCAATCATGTCACACTTTTAAAAGAATTTAAGTAATATTATAACTCGGACTATAATTAAATTATAATTTATTTGAGTTGATTCAATTGCTTTTATTATTTTGGAGCATTTATAATTTTTGAATGTGCATTCCAGTAGGTAAATTTAATTTAAAAGTACTTTGAAATAAATCATCAATTCAAATACATAATCATATCGAAATCAAATGATCACAAATTTCCACATAATGCCCCTTGCATTTTATTTTACGTATATGGTACCAGTCTTACACATCTTTTCAATACTGACAAATCTCATTTCTGAAAAAAGTGTTTTTTTCTGTTCTTCCCTTCAATATAGAAAAGCTAAGTTCAGAGAAACCTTAAATCTAATCATACACATACTTATGACTACCAGCATTTTCTTCAAAACGTTTTAATTTATGATTTTTTAAAAAGATTTATTCACTGTAAGTACCATTTAAAACTATTAATGTGATGCACAAAATTACTTAATAAACACAAAGTTCATATATCTGCAATGAATTCCTCCTTATTTTTATCCAAATTCCACATTTTACAATAAATTCAAAGCAACTCTGGGACAAAATACTCAGATTTCCTTTATTAAACTATTATTTATCTTCAGTCATTCTCATTATGCCTGAGAAATTTACACACATATTTAGCAATGCTTTATAAGCCAGTGCATGAGGTTTTCCAGTCGAAATAATGACAATGAAGTAAAGTCTAAAGTTTATGCTGTTACACATTCATTTCAAATAAAGACTGGTGATTTACAACATTATATTGCTAGTGCCATATATGAAAAAATATTCAAAATTGTATTGGCTGTCACGTCAGTAAACTTTTGATCCCAAAATTCATAAAACTAAATGATAAAATAAGCACAGCAGAGGATACCATCACATCATATCATAAAAACATATCTTTATTGCAAAAAGGCAAATTTATTTTTAAAATAAATAAATATAAACAGTAGCAAATATTTAAAAATTTCTTTCAAATTTATTAATTTATTTTAACTTTTGGTCTCATTTAAACTGTTTAAATGTTCAATGGGTACTATTTTTTTTAACTGAAAAATTCACCCAATTAAAAAGTATATCTGATAATCCTAAAGCACTGCTCTAAGCCTTCTTTATTAATTTTCCCTCTTATTTCCATCATTAATTTGACCAGGATCAATATATTTCTCCTATATGATGTATAAATAACTCAGGAATTCATGATAGGTACATTAAAATTTTATAAAATACACAAAGCAGTTTACGCAGCAGAACAAGTAGTTACAAATCTAATCAAAAGTACCTTTATTTGAATTATAAATCTCTATAATACTGAGTTTTCATTTTATATGTGCATATAGTTGATGATTTAAGATTCCAAAATTATACCTCAATAAGAAGCTAAATTAAGACACAATAACACACCGAACAAATACTAATTCAAGTCAAACAACAAAAATCAGCATTAAATTTGAAAATATAATGCTGACTTTTGTTTTTTGACTTGAAGAAGCTAAATATTTGTCATGTTCATAAATGTATATTTCACTTTAATAAAATAAAGACTGCAAATGCATATACGTATTTCAAGGTCAAGTAAAATTAAAAACATTTCTAACAATCCGATAAGCTTGAATGCAAAAAAAGACAAATTATCTTTTTAAAATGTATTTCCGAAAAAATTAAAAATGAGATAAGTCAAAATTTGCTAATAATTAGCTTTCAATGGTTATGGTATGGTCTACGTCACTCATTAAAGCAACTGTGATGCACTTCAAAAAGAATAAAGAAATTACCAATTTTCTACGACTATTCTTAGTAAGGATAAACTTTTGCAAATGGTTTTGTTTCAGTAAAATTTATTTCAGCTTTAAATTCTATTTTAATCTTTTGCTTGTATTTAATGCTTGTTTTCCTATTCTTCTGTAGGTATTCAATAACACTGTTCATGGAATTTTTCATATTTTCTATCTAATAACTGTAGTAATATTGATTGATAAATTTTATGATATGCAATAAAAATGAGATAGAAGTATTAAAAATCCAGCATATTACTCTCATTAGTTTGATAACATATTCACTCTATTATGAAGTTTTAAAACAAATTTCAACCTTATTACCTAAGATAAAGCTTCAAATGGTAAAAGCATGTCTCCCCCCCCAAAATTCAAAATTTCAAGAAACTAGATACTTTACATACACAAACAGTTTCTGTGGTATTTTTAATAAAAATAAAGAAAAATTGAATTAAATAGAATCAAGTAAATATTAAATGAACATAAATAAGGATACAATCTAGATGGATGCTGCAAAACATCTTGAGGTATCAGTATATCATCAAAAAATCCTATAGACACTAAAATAAACAAGCACATTAAATATAATTCATACTAACAATTAACACATAAAAATATTAAAAATTATAGGAAAAAATTAAATTATTTCTTAAAACCTTTTCAAAATTCACTTTAAATAAAATATTTCTACTGATAACTTCAGGCACATAAACAGATAAAAACTATTGCTCCATATCTTCAAGAAATTCACAATTTTTATGAAAAAGAGGATTTAAAGAAATCTGCAGTAGTTAAAGATAAGAAGCTTGTTCAGCAATACTAAAAATGAAACATAAAATCATTTTTGCTTTTATAAGCACATATTAATATCCATATGACACATTTTCAAATGATATTATTTTTTATAATTTCTAACACTTAAAACAAAAGATGAAATTTACATACTGAAATCTTATTACATTGCAGAAGTACTTGTATGTCAATTTTTTTCTCTTCAACAATAAATAGACTTTTTTTTTTCCTTTTGAAGCCATTTAAGTAAACCCATGCTTCATCAAGGATCATAATGCATTCCCAATTATCTCCTTCTATATAGTTTTCAGAGTTTCCATATAGAAGTAATGACTAATGGGTTTTCCCTTTCCAATTAATAATCTTGCTTATTTTGCACTTTGAAATTTTAATCCTGTGCATTTCACAACATTTTTGAATTAAGGAACAGGAATATTTTACTTTGGAAAGCGCAAAAGCTTATCATTCAATCCACAGCTTGTTTACATAAGACATTTGATATTATACACAGCTGAAATTATTTACCATTATTTTAAACTGAAATATTTAGCAGATTTCAAAATTTATGTACAAATGTAAAAATGCTTAATCAAGAAACATAAAAACAATGTTCCACTGATTTGAATTTTTTTCATTCAGCAAATGAATTAGCAATCATTTCATATTAAATTTTAAAATGTTAAAATTCTGTTGCTGTCCTTTTGTAAATACAAGCATCTTTACTGATTTTAAAACTCTTTCATACACTTGACCACCTTTCCTGATAAAATTAGAATCTTAAAAAGTGCCATATATACAAAGCAGCATTTTGCATTCTGTGAGAAAATTCTTGTCTTTTAGGAATAAATATAACAACATAAATATATGGAACTCACCATGCACTCCTTCACGACTGCAACTACGTATCTTCCCTACCATAATTTCATTCATGAATGGACGAAACACGATATAATTGAAATATACTAAAAAGTCAAAGAAAAAGTGTTAACAAGCTATATTTTTCACATAATATTGCTCATACAAAATAAGAATCAGGAATGTCAAAATTATTTAGCAGGCACAGTGAAAATATAATCAAAACTATATATATGCCTTCAGGGTACTTTACACTAATCAAGATATTTCAGAATATGGATGATATTTTGCCAATAAAATTATTATTACTGAGACATACAAAGAAATCTTATTTAATACATTAAATCTCTCAATTATTGTGTGCTAAGTGAAACTGTGTCTAACGAAAGAGAAAAATGATAATAATTATGATTCATTAACAAGAGAAAATTGGAAACTACAGCAGAATCTCAATGAGCATAATTTATTCTGAATGTAATACAAAACACTCATTAAGCAAAACAATGTTTTTCTTAGAAATCAATGTAAAATAGGATAAGGTGTTCCATTCTGGGTAAAAAAAAAATCAATTAAATTTAAAATAATTATGTAATTTATTACTATTATACATCTTTTATATTAGAACAATGCCTAAAAGCATTTGTTTTCATCTATGTTTTAAATTTGGAGAAACTGAGACACAACATTAGTGTTAAATAAATTTCTAGCACATACAACTACTGCCTTATTAGAGTGAAGCTACTATCATGCAACAGTTTCCCATGCTTTCAGTATCTCCCTTATTTCACTGAAAGGTTGCAGTTTTGCTAAGGATATTATCTCCTCCTTCCCATCACAACATCTTACTGTGACACAGAATACAGCTCCATATAGCTCAATGGTGTTGTAGCTATCCATCTCTAGGCTCATAATCTTGGCCAGAGACACAATCTAATTAATTACATTCTCCACAGGCACTTGCTTTAGCAGCAGTAAGATGTTAGTTGAACAAGTTCTAAACAAAAACTGATAGCTGAGATTCAGGCATGTGATCTTGCATGTGAGGTCATGTCTCCACCTCACTTGTTCTGCAAAACATCACTCATTAAGGAAGTTATTTTTTTACACTTTGTTTTGCTCATTTTGGGAAGTGCTCATTAAGCAAAGGTTTCACTGTGTATCAGAAGTTAATAAAAATCTACCAGACTAAAGTTTAAAATTATTTAATTTTTTTCTTGTTTTATTAGTTTCTGCATGATCTATTTGTTTGTGTGTGCATAATTCAGTGTAGATGACTTCAAAATAGCATAGATACATCAGATGGGGCAATGGAGAAAAGAACTTTAGCAGAAGTGATGCTGATTCATACACAGTTTTATTTTGTAATTAAAACATATATCATCATTATGGATGCACTCCACAACTGTACAGCTTTTTAGACAAACAATTGAGGCAAGAGACATATGTTGGCAAGAAGCAAGGCAAAGAAGGGAAAAGGGGCTGAGCAAAAGTAACAGTGATATTTAAAGACTTGATTTATTTTTTTTTTTTTTAAATTTTGAGCTCTGGGACTAGACCACAGCCATTCACAATATAGAAGGGTAGGGTGACATAAAGCAGATTAGTTTTCAGATATGACACAGTTTAGATTTCCAGAAGGGGACGTAGCCAAATTAAAGTCAGTAATTTTTAGTTTAGTATTATTTTTACCTTACACATTCCTGCCCGCTTTCAAAGAAAAAAAGGGTTTAGCAATAGAAAAGCTTTTTTGAAAAAGCATTAAGTTAACAAAACAAGAAAAATATAATTTTGTGAAAAATCATAAAATTTTTAATAAATGAATGCCAAATTTAGACTTTTATTGAAATTTTCAGTCCAATTTAAAAAATTTGCAAGGAATAATTAGAAAAGTTCACAGTTCTTGAAAACCTTTTCTTGAATATCTTAATGTAATTTTAATAGTCCTTTTCTTGAAAGGCCTTTAATAGAAACTATTGTATTCAATACAAAACCAAAACTTTTTTTATTGTAAAGCAATATGAAATGAACAATGCAATGATATCAAAAATTTTAATATTCTGGAAATGAGTATGGTTAGAGTGCCAAGTTAATTGTGGCCACAAATGTCAATTGAAATAAAAATAAATATTTAATCTGCACTGGCTGCCAAGCTGGTTATTCATTATGGATCAACATATATGCAATCAGTATTTCTATATTACATCTAAAGTATATATTAAGTATAATAATATACCTGTATAACAGATTGGAGAGGTTCATTGTATAGATAGAACGATGAAACTTGCAGACAAATGCAGGCACAGATAATCATATAATTTACTGATGGAAACATAATACTTGAGTCACATTTTCTTATTCACACATCACCATGGATGCAATACACACCCCACAGTTTTTGGAAGCTTATATTTTAAGACAATGAGTGATAGATAAAAATTATCCATAACATGTTAATAAGCAATAGCCAAAAAAAAGTGAGGATAGTGATTATGCAGTCAGAAGAAGTGATTGAGAGTCACACATTTTCACTTCTTTACCAGAAATCTGGATTTGTGATTGGATAAGAAGTACCCGCATTGCAGGGTTACATAAGAAAACATGATGCAGATTAATTTTGAAAAGACGTAATTTAAATTGATATGTTATAAAAAGTTACTACAATTAGCACAGAAAGGGAAAGTACCCAAATAAAAATGAGGAATAAAAGGAACTTTTGTCAATCAAGATTAGAAGTTTACTTATATACATATCTTATATACAGTTATCTTATATACATATTAATTATTTTCTTCAAAGGTATGGAATTTGAGGAAGCAGAATTTACTAGCCTTTTACAGAATTAAATAATATTTTTAAAAAAGGATCAAGCAAATTCGAATTTCTAGAACATAAAAATGCATTTCATAGGGACATATAAATTCGCATGACAATTTTGAATATTAATTCACAAACAACCAATAAATGGTACCAAAGTAATATTTTTGTGTGCACATTAAACTTGCGTGCATTATATATATATATATATATATATATACAATGAAATGGTATTTGCATATTTGTTCATCAATCATGAAAATTTGGTGCCAAAGATCTGGTGAAAGTTTTGAAGGGACAGATTGCCATTTATTTAATTAAATAATCAACAGACGGTTCCCATTTCATAGGGACATATAAATTCGCATGACAATTTTGAATATTAATTCACAAACAACCAATAAATGGTACCAAAGTAATATTTTTGTGTGCACATTAAACTTGCGTGCATTATATATATATATATATATACAATGAAATGGTATTTGCATATTTGTTCATCAATCATGAAAATTTGTGCCAAAGATCTGGTGAAAGTTTGAAGGAACAGATTGCCATTTATTTAATTAAATAATCAACAGCCGAAAACTTTGCGGCAAAAACATTGTGGACGAAAACGTCGCAGAGAAAACAACGCAAGGCGAAAACGTCGTGCTACAAAACATCGCGGGAGAAAACATCACAAAGAGATAACATCACAGTCCTAAAACATCATGGTAGAAAACATCGTTGTTGAAAATAAAGCGGCTCAAAACCTTTGCAGTTTAAAAACATCGTCGTCGAAAATATTGTGGTAAAAATTAAAGTATCTACAAATCATTGCATGATGATAACATCGCAGACATGCTTTTTTCAGGCTATAGTAACTGTAAATGGATATTCTCCATAATAATTTGTGACCGCAAGATGGAAAGAAGGATGATTTTTACTTTCATATTTTTTATTAAATACAGTTTTGCTGAGAAAATAAGAAGTTTTGGTTTGGTTTATTTAATTACGGCAAAGCACACTAGGGCTATCTGCCTAAGGGGAGGGATGCCTTCGTGGAGGACTTTCTAAGGGAAACTGGCTCATATACACGTTACACGTGGGGAAAACCACAAAAACACCCATCCAGCCAGCCCGTTCGCGGGATTCGAACCTCTGACCGAACTACCAGCGTTCAGCGACTTTACCGCTCGGCCGCTGGTGGGCATGAGAAAATAAGAAGGAAACTTAAGCATAGAAAATTAATGCAACTTATAGCACTTAATAGAATTTTAAACCGGCATAGTTAACTAACAAAGGCCATTAATAAATCATTTTTAAATCAGATTTTACTGGTAATTTTTCATGAAAAGTATAATCTATAAGCTGCATTTAATTTTCTATGCTTAAGTTTCCTTCTAACTTTTTCAGCAAAATTTATTAGTTAATAAAAAAATGTGAAAGTAAAAATTATCCTTCTTTACATCTTGCACTCACAAATCATTCTGGAGAACATCCATTTACAGTTACTATAGCCTGAAAAAAGCATGTCTGCGATGTTATCATCATGCGATGATTTGTAGATACTTTATTTTTTACAACGATAGTTTAGACAACGATGTTTTTAAACTGCGAAGTTTTTCAACAGCTTTATTTTTGACGACGATGTTTTGTACCACAATGTTTTCTCCCACAATGTTTTGTAGCACGACGTTTTCGCCTTGCGTTGTTTTCTCCGCAACGTTTTCGTCCTCAATGTTTTCGTCCGCGATGTTATCGACAGACACATATTACGAATATGGCACAGATAAAAACTTAAAATAACTACAGGCTCAAGCTTTGAGATTTTTTTATAAAAACATTCATTAAAAACAGTGCCAATCATTCCAGTGGTCAAAAATCCCTAATGAATTATAAAATAATGAACTTGACGGTGTCGTGTAGGTTACTGAAGATCAGGGTTATATCAAATTAAAGCAAAGTTCTTAAAATTATATTAAAACATCATACTTATCCATTACCGGCATAACTGCACTATTATTGGCTAACAGATTCCATTATTTGGCGACACTGTTGAAAAGGCTAATGGCAATGTACGTAAATACCAGTATGTATTTATGTATGTTTGTGTGTGCATGTATCTTTGTTATTATTAAAGCTAAGAGCGAATGTTACATAAAATCGTTCAATTTCTAGGCACATATAGCCGTAAAGATAAATGCACATTGGGAAACAACATGCAATGACCTATACCACTTAAAATCCACACAAAAAAATAAATTTTTAATCAACATTCATTTTAAATAAACAGATTCATACACACTTTATTTTCCTCACTGTTCACTTCATAATATACATGATAGATATAGGCATCCTTCAAAAATAAACGTTTTATATATAAAACGTTCATTTGTTTCAAAATTTAATCTTTAATTTAAAGGCATCAAAATACATATAAATTTTTCACTATAAATATATGTATAAAATAACAGAAGGCAAACTCCTGAGTTTCATTATAGTTTATTATGCAAAGAAATACTGATCAGAAAAAATACCACTGAATACCTAACATACAACACACAATTGTGTCAAAAACCAGCGCAGAACACATATCGCCAGATTTGGTGATCTTAGGGTGCTTTTAAGAGTAGAGCCTAATTTATTAAACCGAGGGGGAAATATAAATCGATAATATAATAATGCAGCAGATAGAAAACCTTCAATTGGCTTTAAAATGCCTTACAAATAACAGGCTGGCCACTTCCAATGCACACAAGCAAACATATAATATATATAGCATATAACAAAGAATACAGTGTCATGCATATGGCATAAAATTATGTTAACCTATAGCTTAGGTTATAAATATGAGGTCTAATAAACGTCAGAAAGTTATGTTAGAAGAAAAGCAAAAATTGGTATTTTTCTGTTATCAGAGTATCAGAATATTTTATCCCTGATGGACTACAACTAAAATTTTAATAAAGACCCACCCCGGCGTCATATATTCTAGTACCCTGGAATTCTAAGTGAATTTCCAATTGTGATGTATACCGGCATACTATTACATCACGTAATTTAAAAAATAAATTTTACTTCGTAACTAATGGGAAAAGTAAAAGGCTTATTAATGATAATCAAGCTTGCATAAAAATACATAATCAGAATTAAATTAAGCAGTACCATACCTCCAGTATGCGATGCTCCATCTCCAGGAAATATATATGATTCTTCCAGCCTTGTTATTTGAAACAATCCTATGCAAAGGCCAACATTCATCACTACCTACAAAAACAATAATCATTTTAACAAATAACTAACGTAGTTCTGTTGTAATAATATGATATGGAAGGAAATGTAAATTAACCTTATTCGCAAATTTTAACCGCAATTCATCTTCAATGGCATCTTTTAAAGGTTTGTGGAATTTCCACGGAGGTATACGAACAGTATCTTTCATCTCAACTACTGTAAACATTTTTTACCAATATAAGGGAACACGTAAATATGAATGGATATTTGCAGGTAACAACCAGAATGAATTAAAGAAGTGTTGTTTGGTACCGCTAAGTCTTTCTGCCTTAAGTATACAAATTAAGCATTAGTGCGGAAACGAAAGATAGAAAGACGACGATTTTTGAAAAAATGCGAAGAAATTGTAACGAAAGGGTATCAATAAACCTAAATAAACTTAAATAATATAGAAATTTAAAGAACTCACATCATTTACTCATAGCATATAAAAATAAATCACTATATAAACATTTTTCTTCTTTTTAATTTATAGCTTAGGAAAGCCTTTCATTGGAGAAACTCGAAAATTTTTAATGAAGATCCACAATTTATTGTATAAGGCTCCTATATACCAGGCTGAATCCTCACGTATTCGGGATCCCAAGTGGGAGTATTAATGGCCGCTGCATAATTAGCGGTGCAACAATTTCTTGTGCTTTTTTGTGTAAAATGGGCGGATGTGCGGAAAGATCATATATTGGTAAAATTTCCTAAAAAGGAAGAAAGAAGAAAAATATGGGTAAATAATTGCCGAAGAGACAATTGGAAACCTGGTTCAAGCGCTCAACTTTGTTTAGTAAGTATAATATTATTTACGCCTTCATTTAGAGTTTATATCTTCTCCGATGTTTATAATGTGCAAGTAAAGTGAAATTCTTGAGTACAATACCCTAAGTATCTTCTAATTTCTGTTATAATAGCTATAATTAAATTGCTCTAGGGTTAATATACCCATCGCCAATGTGGATGTTTTGAATGTGGGGAAAGAAATTTCTCTTCTAATTTAAAGCGCAGACTTTGTTTTCCAGTGCTAATTAAGAAATTTATACTAATGTAACATGAAAATCAGGTTTAATCCTAGTATCCGCAACTAAAATTTTAATAAAGACCCACCCCTAACTTTCACTAAATTTTAATAAAGACCCACCCCTAACACCACTTTTCGTCCGCGATGTTATCGACAGACACATATTACGAATATGGCACAGATAAAAACTTAAAATAACTACAGGCTCAAGCTTTGAGATTTTTTTATAAAAACATTCATTAAAAACAGTGCCAATCATTCCAGTGGTCAAAAATCCCTAATGAATTATAAAATAATGAACTTGACGGTGTCGTGTAGGTTACTGAAGATCAGGGTTATATCAAATTAAAGCAAAGTTCTTAAAATTATATTAAAACAATCCGATGCACAAGGGATTTGGCTACTTTTGGCGACTTTATGATGAGCAATAAACGGGAGATATACGATGAGTAGTTAAACGGGTCATTTTGGTGTTGGCAATAATTTTTAAAATCGCGCCAAGGCTGCACCGTATACTAGGATTTTACCGATGGAATGATATCTAAATTTTTCCTTATTTTTCCCCCAATTTTTTTGTTAATATTGAAATGTGTTTCTTTGGGTACATTTTTAGGCACTTGTGGATCATGTCAGACAACATGCAATAGAAAAAAAGATGTCCAGCGTGCATAAATTTTCCCATTATGTTATTCCATATTGCTTTATTTGAAGTACTGGATGATCGTGCTGTGTCAGTGAACCTTCATGAATATGTGTCAGAATGTGTATCCTGTATATTATGTGTATCCTGTTTTTGAAGCATAATCGTTTTATTTATCTTAGTAATGCATGAATAAAAGATGGTATGTGTTACTTCATTTTTTCTAAATTTGAAGAATAATCTTTTTCATTTTTATACGTCATGTTATTGTTCAGTATAAAGGATAGTGAAAATAAATTGGTGTGTGTATCTGTTTTTGAAGTGTAATGCTTAAAGAAAAAGATGGTGTGCGTTCCTTCATTTTAACAAAATTTTTGAATTCCCGATGCAGTTTTAAATGCTGCAATATATTTTTCTATTTTATTCATTCTTTTCTTATTTCATAATACCAATCCTCAGTTTTCTTAATAAGATGGCTTAGAGAACTTTTCTTTTTTGTTTCTTTTTATTACTAAGTTTCGTATGTGAATTTTATTTATTAAATATAAACTTTCGCTACATAAAATTCTATTCAGCAGCAAAATGACAAAAATATTTGATAATGAAAGAGAAATATCTTATTTTTTTTTTCCGAATGGCAACAGTCTCGTCTCGCGAGTCGGAGATAAAAAATGTTTTATTTGGAATAGTGTTGCCACTGCTCGCTTTCCGATCTTTGAGACTGTTAACTAATAATTAATTAAAGTATTACAAAATATGAAAAATAATAAAACAAATTCGAAATTAAAAATGTGTGCTTTCAGGTGCACATGTTCGCATGAAAATTACATTATTCAAAATTTGACGGTTGTATCTACCATCATTTTTTTACAATACATGCAGATTCTTCATTATTTAATTTCTTTAAAAATAATGCAAGGCGATAACATACTTGGTGGGAACAATTTAAAAATGATTCAGACATTTAAAGTGACAGGACGAAAAATCCCGATATGAGATTAATAGCGCTTTTGGGCTAATAATTAAATATATGAAAATATATGAGAAGTAATTCGAGCGTGTTTTATTACAGTGCATTAAGAAAAATAGTAGCAAAACATTATTTATAGCTATTTCAAATAAGCAAATATACTGATTTTTGCTTTAATTAACAAAGCTTTTATTTCACAATCAAAAATGGCATTTGCATTTGAATAACTTTCAATCGATTTTACTCTTCTTACTAATTATCAGATGCAAATCGAAAAGTCCTAAAATGCATAGCATTAGATGAGACGGATGCGAGTTTTTTAACACGTTTTATCATCACATCATTACCCCAATACATACACACACACATTTATATATATATATATATATATATATATATATATATATTATATAAGATATTAAGATATTTTTATTATTTTTATGTAAGATTTTTAATTTAGGAATATTTTCGTACGAATATAGTTTTATTATTTATAAAATGATGTATGATATATTACACTTTAAAATTATTCCTATATTTAAAATAATTATAAAAACAGATTTCCAGGGACGACATAGCTTGGTCTTAAATGATAGTGTGGTCAAAGCTGATAATATCTCCTCTACGAGGTACCAGCTTTTGTGTTCGATGGTCGCCTTTATGGGGTTGTCACTGACGTCCTTGAGTGTGACAAGTACGGGGTTCAGGTTCATTTCAATAGAATTTCTCAATAGACCTCACAGGTAGTGAAAGGGGGAAGGAAATATTTCTCTCGTTAACTGAGCTAAATTTCAGACACAAAATGTTTACCTTTGGAAGAGAAAAATGGTACAAAATATAGAAGTTTTGCTCGCCGGTGAAGTGGTTAACTCTACTTATACCTCGGAGTTGGTAAAGACTCTTGGCACAAGAAACTGCATCATTCCTTTACTAGCTGCGCCACTGCTAATACATCCCCATCGCTTCGTTTCTTAACTGATTGCGTCATTTCCCTTTAAAAAACCAATGTATGTAGAAATTTATCATATTTAATTATGATTGAATAAGTATCTGCCAAATTAATTGGATATGTGGGAAAATAAAGACTGGTGATTTGCCTTCATCTACCACCAGCCATGACTGTTGTCGAAAGCTGTTAAGAGTTCCAGGCTTCGACTGCGCATAGAAGAAGAAGAAGATAAAAGTTGTTCTTCGTCAGGAAAAAGGCCTAATTATAAATTATAAAAGCATATTTCTAAATTATTTATTGGCGTGTATCTGTTTCAACTTGTTTTTAATTTGCCTGCATGGTATGCGGTTTTTATTAGCGCTAAGTTGTGATGAAGTAAAGTATTTTATTAGCGCTAAATTGTGATGAAGTAAAGTATTTTCGATGCAAGACAAAGACTTTTAGAACTTATATCCTCAGTGCTAAGACCGGTATTCAGAGACATCTCCAATTAGTAGAACTACAGTGTAGTTTAGCAAGATAAATCTTTTTTTTCGTTTCATTAAACAGCAATCTTAAATAAACTCACAAGCGATACTGCTTGTTATCATACAAATAATTATATATTGCAGACAAGCTTAGACGAATGGCAATTTCACGTTATCTGTACGATGACCGCTCTTTTAAAAGAGCTCTCTTAGAGTGTTGAATAAGATGGAATTCGATGAATCAGCGCGATATTCAGTATCAAACTATTATCAATTACTTAAAATTTATTACTCCTATGTCCAAAAGGTCCATGGAAAACGTTTGCAGAGTTGTATTTGAAACGGAAAAAAGTATTATCAAATTATTACATAAAGTTATTATCGAAATTATCTTCGAACTGACATCCATCGCAATGTACATGCATCTTCTTCGGTAGAATCTCCCCATTAGTATCCGTCACAGATTGGCCTTTGCATTGCTCTAGACCAGCGATTCTGAACCGGTGGTACGCGTACCACTGATAGTAAGCAAGAGAAAAATGGGCAAAATATTTAAATATATTAATATTTATTAAAATATGGCAAAATATTTTAACTACTCTAAATTCAAAAATCTCGTAAAGAAAAAGAATAATTGATATACATTTCCTATGATCGAACTCTAACTGAATATTTCAAAAATAACATTTTTGTTAATTTTTGACTGAACAGAAAAAAAGAATTTAAAGGCTTCTCAAATAAAGCTATTAAATTTTTATCGCCTTTTTGCACAACTTATTTGTGTGAACAATAATTTTCTCCATGTTAAATAAAAATAAATGCAGAATACAATTTAAAACATGAAAAATAAATGAAAATGAAAATTAAAAAACATAAAAAACAAATGAAAAAACATGAAAAATAAATGCAGAACAAAATTAAATGTGGATCCTAATTTACGGTTAAAACTAAGTGAAATAAGACCAGGCAGACATAAAGAAATTGATCTCTCTTAAAAGGCCCAAATTTCGCACTTAAGTTTAGAATTAAATTATTATAACTTAAAATTTGATAGTAAAAATGGTAATCAATTTTCAATCTAATATTCTTTAAGTGTGCAAATTTAATATAAATAGCCAATAGATTGTGCAA